AGCGCAGTGCCTGAGGACATGCCGGTGGATCGTGAATTATGATGGGTCCAAGGTTTTTACACTGTTTTAGCAATCATAGTCCGACGAGGTATGTATGTCCGACGAGGTGCAGAAAACTGCAAACGGTGGCCAATTATCGCGCACATTTTGGCTGGGACAGCGTTCAGGTCGCCGTCTGTTTAAGAAAGGTTGTGGCAATTAATGGTCTTAATTCCTTTCAGAGGCAGTGCCGTTGCCCCGGAGCTCTCAAGCCTGGCCTCACCCAGACCCGTGCTGAGGTGTCCTGAGGTGTGTCAGCAATACCTTTACCACCAATGCTTACTCTTGAGGTGACCGTGAAGTCCCTTCATGGAGCCTCCAGATATTTTCAACACCTTTTGAGAGATACAACACTCTTCTGTGTCGTCATCTTGATTTCTACGAAAGTGTTCCCACAATCCGGTCCTTTAAATTGAGCACAATTCACCAAGGATGCTCCCGGGTACCTGGCGGGGTCACTCAGTCAAGAGGCACGGGCGCCAATAAAGTCCCCGGACATACTTGCTAACAGACACGGCGCCCGACATGCTCCGACTCGATAGTCTGCATCGTTGTCTTCGGGTACTACGAGCTGTTTGCGCCGCGTACATGAGGAGACGGCGCACACGAGGACAAGCTCGAGCTCGGAGCTTGACACCGTGTTGAAGCGATTGCCGAGCAGGGTTCTCGTAGAGGCCGTACGCAGATGGCTTTCACGAAAAATTCCCAAGGTACAGTGAGATTTTTTACAACACCACACGACTTCCTCAATCTTATGTATTGAACATTATTCATTCCTGTTTACACATACCACCAGCGACGATTTGTTTAAATCTTCTTATACGGCAAAAATTTCACGGGGATCTTGAAGTCCCGAGACTTTCCAATCCCAGGTTTTGGGGTTAATACAGTTCTAGAATCTCGAGGTTAGGTGCCATGACATAAGTGCTATGGCAAAAACTATCGACAAGAGTGCTACGTCCAGCTATACGCGACATTACCTCTACTGTCAAAAGTTTACACGACATGAGTGTTATAGAACAAAATTTATGCTCCAAAAACATGTCAATACATCTACTGCAAGAACTTCTACAGTCTATATTTTATACGCGGCATTACTTCTACTGCAAAAAACTCATATACCAACATGAGGGCTACACAGCAAAACGCATGCTGAAAAAGTGTATACTAGTCATTACCTTGTTAATACAGTAAAGAGTCATACAACCTTCACTTTCACGCGACGCTACTTCTACTACCAAAACTCATGCCTACCATGAGTACTACACGACAAAACTTTTGCTGTAAAAACATACACCAGTCATTACTTCTATCTTCTATCATCTACTTCTACACTTGACTACAAGTCTTTGCTGTAGCGCTGATGCCGCACATAAGTTTTTGCAGTACAAGTTGTGCGTGCGTGAGCAATGTATTTTACGGTAAAAAAGAACTCTACGCTAAAAGTAATAACGGGCATCAGTTTTTGAGGCATAAGTTTTGACGTGTAGCACTGATGCCGCGTATAAGTACTTGCAATAGGAATGAGTCCTATATTACGTAAGTTGTTCAGTGCATTAGCGAGGAACATTATTCACCTAGGTAAGACAGTAGTATTAGCCTTATTCCTCGAAGAAAAAAAACAGGAGAATGGAGATATAATTTGGTTGATATTTCGGCAAAATGCCTTTATCGAAACCAAAACAGAAGCCTTCTGCTTCTGTTTCGATAAAGACATGTTGCCGAAAAATCGATCACACTATATTTCCATTCTCCTGGGTTTTTTTCTCGAGGAATAACGCTAATACTACTGCCTTACCTATGTTAAGTCCTGTATAAGTAATGGCTATACCTTTTATCGCAGTACATGAAATGACGAGTATACATTTTTGAAGTTTAAATTGTATCGTGTAGCACTTATGTCACTTATTGCGCATGAGTATTTGCAGCAGAAGTAATGACGTGCATAAGTAATGGCTGTAGAAAGTGTTTGCAGCAGAAGTCAAGGCGCGCATAGGTAATGACTGTAGAAGTGTTTGGAGCAGAAGTGATGACGAGTATAAGTTTTAGCAGACTAAGTTTTGTCGCGTGGCACTAATGTCGTGTGTAAGTACTGGCGTAGACGTAATGTCGTAGCACTGGTGTCGGTGGAAGTTTTTGTTGTAGCACTCATGTCGTGGACCCGGATTATTACGACATGGGTCCATCGACACACAGAGGGTATCTTCAGCGGTCATGGTGGTCCCTCGGTATCTCGAAACATCCCGAGTGGCCGGAGAGGTCCTAGGTAAAGATAAGACTTTTGACATTTAATGCGACTTCTGGCGTGCCGAGCATTGGCGCGGCTGAGGGAGGATTCTGAGTCAGGCAGGATAACGAAGGAGCTGTTGAAGGAGGATTCTGAGGAAGGATTACGGAGGAGCGGCTGGGAGTATTCTGAGGGGAAGGATGGGGGAGGAGCGGCTGGGGGAGTATTCTGAGGGGAAGGATGGGGGAGGAGCGGCTGAGGAAGGATTGTGAGGAAACGAGGATGGGGAGAAGCGGCTGGTGGAGGATTCCGGGGTGGGAGGATTAGGGAGGAGCGGCTGACGGAGGATTCTTGGGCGGCAGGGCGAGCTTGTGAGCGGCCAGAAGAGTCCTGAGCAGTTGCCCCACCCCACAGTCCCAGCGCCCGGATGGGCGTGAGGGTACAGCTGAAGGGCTCTGCCCAATGATTAGACTGACTAAACTCAACTGAATAAACGAGCCGCTAAGCAGGCTAGTACGCCCTCACCACCTAGAGGGTCTTTAACTGCCAGATGAGCACATGTATAGCCAGAGATTGCACCCCAGCAATCAAAGGTGCTCAGTGGTGGACAGAGGGACCATGGATACACAGTGAAGTTCATGTGCAGCGAGAGGGGATCCTCAGTGGCCAGGCATGGCACGTTTCATATGGTTTTGTGCTCCGAGACCCAAAAGGAGTCCTGCCAAGGGGCACCTTGATTCCCCGGGGATTGAACAGTAGCCCCTGGACTCCTGGCCCACACACATTAGGTCTGCAGGGGTCCGGGGGGCTAGACCACCTCCCCGGCCCCTACGGGATCTCTCATTATGGCTGCCACCTAGCGAGAAAAAAAGTACTTGAATGTCATTTTGTTCGCAAGCCCGCTGGCCGCGCCGTTCGCCGCCGGTGCTCCCTGCTGTGATTTAGAGCGGACCTGATCCGCCGCGTGCGTCCGTCACGTTCCAGCGGATAATGGGTGGCGCCGCCAGCAGGGCACGTGCGCTACCTAGCGTCGGAGCGGCCGGCACGATCCGCCGCCACGTCCAGTCGTCTAGCACTGCCAGTGCCAGCCGCCGCCGGCCGGCGCAGCCCCACCGATCGCTGGGCGCAGCACATGCAGAGCTCTTTGACGGGTCTGGTGACTGCAGCGGCCTGGGGACCGCTGGCCGGGCGACGGGTGCGACGCGGACATGGAGTTTGAGCGATCAGCTCTTAAGGCCACAAATAGCAGGGAGCAGTGAGGTAACCACACGTCGGAAAGTGGCTGGTGCAGTCATCTGATGTTGTTCATTACATGCCCGTGCCACGAAGTGGCGAGAGATAAGATTCACGTTCGCCAACTTGGATCATATTGAGGCGGTCTTGCGAAGGCTGCAGGCACTGAACGGTTCGCTATCCAGATTTGCTTTAATGGAACGCGACGTCCGTCGTCACGCTCCCTTTCTAGGGCGCCAGCGATTGTACTAGTAGCCATGCTAGCGCTCTTGGGAAAGGCACAGCCGGGATTCAAACTCGGGCCTTAACGTGTAAGTCCAAGGCATTAACCGTCCGGCCATCACGTTTTTCAGCTCAATACGTAAAAGCTTGCGAGGTGTCTTCTGATTTATCTTGCCTCTCTATCAACGCCAAGAGTCTTTCATTTCAGCCGCAATGATTCCGAAGGTTCCAGGCTTCGTGCGGGCTTCATGAAAGGCAGTGCACGACAGTGGCAAATTCAGTACGTATCCTTTGTCAGTGTCGTTATGATGCCGACGATCACGTGCCCAAGGAACTATTATTTCAGTGGTAAAGGTTGAGCTTATTTTACGAAAAAACGTATGTGTTTTTTTGGGATGGGGGGGGGGGGGCGGTCTTATGCTTTTCAGAAGCAGTATATCAAAGAGTGGGCCCAGCGAAAATCGCTTTTATGTCAAATGTGTGGGTGGTGCGGCATACTCAATTGGTATTGGTACATTCTGGATGTGTGGATGGTGCGGCCGTACTAATGGCGCAGCATATATTGGCATTGGTACATTGAGCACCTTACAATTTTCTACTAAAGCTGTAACTATTTTGCGAAGTTATGGCCTCAGCCTACGCCTTACTAAGGCGACCGGGCGACAGTGCATCGCCCCTATAACAGTGTTCTAGTCCACGTACCTAAAGCCGCAACAGAATATGCAGAAGTGGCAAAATTTAGGCTGCTTGGGATTGTAGGAGCTGTTAAGTCATTTCCGAAATGACAAATTTTCGCGCATTGCAGGAAAACTGATGGACTCTTCCGTTTAGAGGCTACTGTTTACAGCTTGAGACACAAGTATGCCTCCCAAAACATAAAGATAAAGGGCCCAAAGGCATCAGCATAGGATCCAGACCCTCCAAGATGTCCCCCAATTCCCAAAAAGACGGTTCTCCACGCACAAAAAGAAAACAGACGAGAAAAGGAGGCACCCTTGAATGACAAGTTTGGGCCTAGGTAATCTACGACCCGATTTGCCTCCCCCCCCCCCCCCCCCCCCCCCCCTCTTCCCAATCCCCCTACCGAGCAAATCCTGCCTACGCCACACTGGAATGCAAGACTAACCTCGGATCGAAGAAGACGGCCAGCTGAGACAGAAGAAATTCGAACCAGGCGAAGAGAGGCGGGTAGTCCAGCGTCCATTCGGAGGTATTCTCTGTATACCACTCCCGCACCGGCACTGAATGGGTTATGGCCAGCCAATTACGGTGGACCTCGAGTCTGTGCTTCGACTGAGGGCACATGGCACATCCCATATCACACATAATGGTGGCAAGTATGCAATGACAGAATATATGTATGGTGCGCATGCTGCATTACGTCTCGCCTCCCAAAAAGTGATATAGATGATTCATTCAGCTATTCCCGTTCCAACAATGTCACACATTTCACAAACTGTATTCATTGTCTTTGCTTCATGTGTGAGACAAAAAAAAATAGAACGGTATGAACGACACCTTGAACACGCAACCCGCACCCGCCTGGCATTTACTTACTATGCTGGAATCAGCAGAAGCTTCAAGCAACTCGTAAGGATAAAAATTTCATATATGGATTCCATCCCTGAAAAGAAAACCATTCTCGAATTGACCACTCGAAGATTAATCATGTGAGCGCTTGGCACAACATCCGTTGGTAATGGCAGCTCCGAGCGAGTTTCATTCGATAGCCCAACGACAGCTTTGTGTCAGGCTGAAGTAGCACTGATGACTGACAAGTTACCCGAATGGACTTTTAATCACCGCATGGTCGCCGCTGCCGCCACGTGGCGACCGGCGACGACTCATTGGTCCAGCTCGCTGCAATCAGCAGGCTCCGCAGAAACCGGTCTACGGACCGCTGCTCAACGTGGTCTCTGTTCCTGACAGGCCTGAGGTAATCTGCTGCCCCCGCAAGACTTCCACAAGCGCCACAATGTGCCCGCTTCCATTTGATACCTCTGATATACAAAGACGCAGACCTGGGCGTGCCACGCTCTTGTCATCAACAGCTCCCAATGAAGGAGGCTGTTATAGAGCAATACATCAGGGTACCAAGCACTGTCACAAGTGTCAAAGTATAGGGGACAGTTCAGAACTTCACGCCTAGCCACAGGATCAATGCTCGCATGATAACGTGTTCGGTTCCAGTAAGGATTAGTACTGCTAGAAATGGGGCATCTCCATGGGAAAGCTATGTGTCTCCCAGGGGGCCATCATTTTTGTGGATAAGTATGAATGCCAACCACTCAAAAACACGTCGGATAAGCTAGGCTAGCTTTTGAGTTTTATATATATATATATATATATATATATATATATATATAACTATATATATAGTTGCTTACTGTGGATTTACATGATCCAATAAGTGGGTACCTTGTCTGAATACTCTGGCCAGTGTTGAAGGAATGGTGCCGCTTAGTCGCACCAAGTATTGTTAACCTGCCATCAATCGGATAATGATTTTTTATACACAAATTAGATGTACCTCATAAGGTCATTGACCTATTAATAGGTCAAGCCAGGTCAGCCCATTGACAAGTCATAAACAGACAAGTCAGGCCATTCGAGTTAGTGAAGACAATTGTAATGGAATTGTGCAATATGTGACAATGGAATGTTGGATGAAGTCATATACCTTTCATATGATTTCTTGGCCAAGCAGACAATTGTGAATATGATTATGATTAATTGTATTGACCTTGGGTCAAACATGAAGGTCAGATCAAGGCCAAAATCAAACCACATTATGAGTAAAAAAAACTTGCTTTTAAGGGGAGTTTGGATGCTCATTTTGAATTCTTGCAACACACAGACATCACAAGATTACATATTTTGACTCCATGAACATCAGGACAGGTGAATGACCTAAAATGACCTTGATCAACTTTTATCAAATTAAGGACACTACAAAGGACTTTAAAGTGTCATATTCCTGAAGACTGTCCAGTTTACATATTGTTCCAGAATTGAGTGGGACACAATACTACAACTGGTGTCACATAACAATGGTGCCTGTAGGAAAAAGCTCTCAGAATGTTAAGCACACAATCTATCTAGGCATGTCATCTACAGCTAAATGAGCATGCATGCTGCCATCCAAATATTTGCAAGATTTACTCCCAGATTTTGAGAATACTTTTAAACATTTCCCTCTTGAATCTCTCAACTTCTAGGATGACTGCCCTAATGTCTCCAGACCTTCAAGTTGGATGCTGGCAGTGGAACCTCACTTGAAACTTCTCAAGGGCAAAATAGCACCCCGTCAAAGTGAATATCCAAAAAAGCAGGCAGGGGCTCTAACTGACTGAGCAATCAGACAGATGGATGAGAGGGGACAGGTGAACATTAAATCTACTGAGTCAATATCAGTGTTTTTAAGATTTCCCCACAAGGCAAAGTTCACCCACAATCTATTCAAAGAATGGAAATGGGGATTAGGGCCATCAAAGCAGACTGCAGAAAAACATGTCATGCAGAACATGCCTAGGATAGCACCAACATTGCAGGGAAAATTTTGCAGCATATATTTAGTAAAACTAAATCCTTAGCTTTGTGTACAGCAACCACCGATTTTCACATAGGTCAATCTCTGCAAGGTACGTTTCAAGGACAATTTCAAACAAAAATATTAAAAAAACATCAGAACAATCATAAGACTCAGTATTCTGCAAGTTGCTCACCTTTTCAGAAGACAAATCTCCACATCGAGCAATATACGCGCAGCACGCAACGAACACAAGCGCGAGTAGTAAGCACCTTATTTACAACAGAAAAGCGTCAATAAAGCGCCGGATTTGACTTATCGTCAAGCCTTCCCAGGGGCATCGCCCGTTTCAGCATTTTCACAAGGCTTTTAAAATGCTCTTGAGAGCCGAGGGAATGAAAAGACTGTCGCACAACGACCAGAAAGGTACGTACCCTCCTGCCTTATAATTGCACTTTTTGTACCTCCTATATTGCCTCCTGTTGTGAAACATGAATTGTATTTCCAAATGAACCACCACATGCAAAGAGTCGACAATGTCGGATGAGCTAAAACGCTTCCAGCAATCCTAAGGAAATGGACCAAGCCCCGAACCGAAGACCGAAGCAAAGCCCACGTTCTCGGCACGGTACATATACGTGTATTAGCACAGTGCACCTTATCCACGAATCCGGATAATGCGATTCACCCTTATAAAAAATAAACACATCTTGCCGAATGCTGACTGAATATGATTCATTCATCGCCGTGAGATGTTGCCATCGCGTCGTGTGGACGGGCTGTAGTAGCACCCTCTTACAGCAGTACACGTCTTGTATAATTCCAATTGGCGAGACATGAAAACCGCTCTGACATCCAAGACATACTCTGCCGAGATGATATGCTACCGGCCGGCCGGGCAACCGGCCGGAGCCGGCCGGGGCTGAGCCGGTCGCCACTGCCACTGCCGGAGCCAACCAGGCAAGAGGAGACAGCCGAGCTAGATGATAGCTTCACCGACCTTGGCCTGCCTGACGGCGATGACACTGTCCGGTCATCTGTCCTGCGGCTGCGCGTGTAGTTCGAACGCCGCGTCGCCACCTTGCGGCAGCAGCTGGGTTGCAAGTTGGCCTCCCAGAGGCGAGATGTCAGGACGGAGCTGGAGCGCGAGCATACAAAGGAAGTGACAGAGCTTGAGAGGAAACGCCTGACGAAAATGGCGCAGACAGTGGAGCGGTAAAAGAAGGAAGCGAAGGGGGTCCACCAGGAGGATGAGAGGATGGTCAGCGAGGTCCGTTGTCAGCTGATTCAGGAGCACTAAGACGAGATGCAGCGCCTGGCACCGAAGCACCAGAAGCAGAAGGCTGAGGGCGCCGGTCCAGCAGACGGCGCTGGTGACACCCGCCTTGGGACGGCGCAGCTGGAAGGGGACGAGGGCCGGCGCCAGATGATGTTGGCCGAGCTGGAGAACCTCTCGTCTGAGGTGGGGAAGAAAACGCAGTCAGAGCAGGAGGTGTTCCTGGAGCAGCAGCGGCCCTTGATGGAGCGATTCGCGCGCCAGCAGGGGTGCGCCGTGCGCCATCTGGAGGCGCACCAGCAGGCGGCGCGCGACGAGGCGGCGCAGGCCGAAACGTCTCTGTGAGAAGTGAATCTTCAGGGGGAAGGGTGCGGTGTCGCCGCCCTAGCGGGTGGGCAACGTGATTATAGATGGCACGTCAGCCCCGTTTGGCCAGCCGTCCAACCCGCCAGCAGGGCAGTCTGGCGAGAGAGATATTTGGGGTTGTACGTTACCGCTGTGTTCCAGCTCCAGTAAACACAGAATGACCTTAGTGGCACAGTGTGGAGCGAGTGCAGGACCGGCTCAAACACGCGGCAGCGCGGACATAATGCACTCTACCGAGATAATGTGCCAAGAGCAATCCCAAGGAAATGAGCCACGCCTCGGAAACCAAAAACCGAAGCAAAGCCAACATTTTCGGTGCGGTACATCTGCGTCTATTAGCGCACATGTACCGCACCGAACATGCAGCTCACACATGGGTCCCGATAATATGGTTCACACTTAAAATAAATGCATATCGTGCCGACAACGTCCGTTGACATACAACGCTCCGGTTCAATGAATATGACTCATGCATTGCCGGGAGATGTTGCTATCATGTAGTACGACGGACTGTAGTAGCACCCTTCTAAACTAGTGCACCTCTTATGTCATTTCAAGGGGCGAAACCTGAAAAACACTCTGCCATCAAAATAAGCACTCTGACGAGATAATTCGCCAACAGCAATCCTAAGGCAATGAGCCAAGCACTGGAAACCGAACACCGAAGCAAAATCAACGCTATCTGTACGGTACATTATGTTTATTAGCGTAGCGTACCTCATGCACGAGTCTGGGTAATGTGATTCACACTTATAAGAAATAAGCACATCGCGCCGGCGATGTCGGTTGAGCCACAACACTTGAGTCCGATGAATATGACTTATGCGTTGCCGGGAGCAGCTGAGCTTATTTCCTCTGGATTACTGTTGGAATATTATCTCTGTGGTGTATCCGTCTTCCTGTGTTTCATACTAGACTTTGGTTCCCCGGTAGTTTGCAACATCATTGTTTATTGCTTGCAAGTGAAATGTGCTTTCGAACGCACGTGGTTGCGGAGGCAGCACTTTGAAGTTTCCGTGGACAAAAAATGGTTCATTTTCAGCTTCGTGGAGCTTTATGGTATTATAGGTCATTAGACGCGTAACTGCACGACCAAGACGTTGGCTTCGTTTCAAGGTTTTCCTTTTCGTAATTCTGGAGTTATTGGAAAGTCATCTTCAGATAATGCAAGTTGCAACATTAAAAAACATATTTGCATGCACAAAAACACTTCCCGCTCAATATACACCTCAGATGGACCACGACCTTTCATTTTGTACCAAAAAAGCTCATTTTCATACGTTTGACCTTTTCTGGAAAAAACGGCCATGGTCAGCTATCGCTCTCGCCACTAGGTGAACATAAAGTAAGCACCTTTAACACACTTCTACATAGCTTGAAAGCGAAATCAGGCTTTCTTCTTAATTGCTTGGTGAGATATAAGCTTAGGCCACCTTACGTACTAAGAAATGGCAAGGTTTAACTAACAACAATCTGATGCCAATTTTCAAAACAATACTTCGGGGTGCAGAATGAGGGCCTTAAGTCCCATCAGTGTGCGTACGAAGTGGAGAGGTTTGCTGCCCAGATTTATGGTTTTGTGACAAAGTGCCAATTTTTGGGACGTTATTTAAGGTTTAATGTTTCTAACGAAAAGCCTATTAGCATAAGAAAGTTTTAAGTCACCCTATCGCATGAACCAGGCAATTCCTCGTCTTAATAGGAATAATGCAAGAAGATCATTATGACGGCTAAACTGCGATTTTGGTTTACCATCAAAGTCGTGATTCATTTACGGTGTGTATAAAGCGGCAAGTGTTTCTGTACATGTAAGTAGTTTCTAGAGTAAATGTGAATTTGAGGATAGCTTCTGACGGTTTATTTAAAAAACTCCAAGGCTATGCAAGTGAGAAAATTTCAAAGTACACCATCTCATTCGCCGTGCAAATAGGGATGTAACGACGCATTGTGCAATGAGAGTCCATCACTTCAACCTTGTCCTCACATCAACCCTGTTTTGTGAGCGCAAACTTCCAAGGTTTTGTTTCTGAAACCAGCTCCGCTCGAAAGCAGATGGCAATTTTCAACGGTACACAATAATTTTACACACATTTATTGCCGTTGTTGTCGACGTGCAAATGAAAGAAAATCTCACCCCCGGCCACTTCGTTGCGGAAAACGTTAAAATCTTGAAGCGGGTGTTTTTTTTTGTGCGTGAAATGAACGCCAATAGTTACATCAGCGTGTGTACGAAACGGGAGTATGCTCTGTCCCCATTTACGCTTTTCAGACGAAACGACCATTTTTAGACATTATTTCACATTGGTTGTTTTTAACTCAAAACTATCAGTAATGGACACTTAATGCTACACCATCCCATAGGCAAGGAGATTCTGTGTTTTAACAGGTGTAATGCGACACGTTGGCAGGATTTTAAGGCGATGGATTTTGGGGGGCGTTAAATGATCCAAGCTCATATTACTCGAACCAATAAAAATAAAAAGGCTGATTTTACCTCCAAGGGATGTAAGACAATGTTGCAACTTGCTAAGTGCACTCTACGCCTTTGCGTGAAACAACCAATTTTTAGACGTGATTGCAGGTTTGTTGTATCTAGGTCAAATCCTATGAGCATTGGGCCTGGAATTCAGTACCTAAAAAGGTATAAGGGAACGAGATTTGTGTGACTTGAAATTACCGGTTCTTGACTACGTGAAATCATCTAACATCCAAACAAAAATAGAAGTCTAAACTCACTTCCAAACGAATTACAAATATGTTACGCGTTGATGAATACCACCTTGTTCACGGCGTAACGAGAAAGTAGTTTGCCTTGGCCATTTGTTTCGGAAAAACTTGAAACAAAAGAGTGACATTTATTTTGGCAAAAAATAAAAGGTCGTGGTCTATTTATGGTGTGCATAAAGCCTCAAGTCCTATTGTGGGTTTAAACAGCTTCTAGAACAAGTACAAATTTGAGCGCAGTTTCTGAGGACTTTCGGGGAATACCTCATAACCTTCTAAAGTTATGAAAAAAAATTTAATCGCATCATCGTAATGGACTCGCAGTTACTGGTCTAATGGCGCATAATGCAATGAGATTTCATGAGGTTGAAGACGGAACTTTTTTGGATCGCGGAAACTTCCAAAGTTTTCTCTTTGAAACAAGCTATGTTTAAAAGCAGATTCCGCTTCCAATCGATAAACGTTGATGTTGCCCACTTTGTTTCCCAGATTGATCGAGGAGCAAGAATAAAAGTTTCCGGTGGGGCTAACCTCACTTAAAATAACCTAATCTAACCTAACTTAACCTAACCTAACTTAACCGGATACAGGACTATTAAACTCATATTGACATAGAATGGCTGCTTATGCGGGACAGAACTTCAGATGTGTGACATTTATAGAAACTGATGTCTTATACAAAATATTGCAATCTTCTGAATGTCAGCTGTAACCCATTCCTCAGCGTTGTATCTGGTACACCTCGTCATTTCATAATTTACATCAACGCAATACCCTTGTTCCAATATGAGCAAATGTTGACTGCAAGATGGTACAGAGATATCCGATCAATACAACATGTTGCAGTTATATAAGAATGTGCATGGTTTCGGGTAATCTAGGATCCATTGAGTGCTC